AAAACGTCTGGGTTGCTCTCGTTATTCCGCGGCTCAGTACCTTGTATAATTGTACAGCTGGCAGCCCCCGTACGCAGGATGAAGCGAACCCTGTGTTCTGATTGGCTACCCGAGCGGGCAAGATGAGCCCAACTTGCCCGGTCTGGATTGCCCGCTTTAATCGAAAGCAAGAGACAAGCGTGTGGAGCGGACTTAAAAATTTCGTAACTTCTGGACAACGTCTAAGATAAAAACGCAAAAAGTGGCAGAGGACAGTCAAAACAAAGCTAAAGTTAAACGAGCCTCTTAAGTACTAAGATTTCGTTTTACTAATCCAGACATAAAATGCTAGTTGCGACCCACATTTGATTGGCTAGTAGTTAAGCTGCAGTCGCCACTCAAAATAAGTAAAGAGAATTTGATAGAACAATTAAAGAGAACTCCTATACAATGAGAAACAATCCTATACAAGTAAGAACTCCTATACAAGAATTTAAAAAAAAAAATGCTGCATTTTTTAAGGGATGACATCACTCGATTCGTGTGTCGTACATCTATTTTGATTCCCCCCCCACCCAATGAATGAATAATTTAAGGGGATTTAACGTTGAGCTGATAACCTTTTGTTTATTTTCAACTTCCTGAGGCTGACTATGATTAGTGTCTAAGCTTCACACAAATAATATGGAGTATTTATTGGCACCCTATCAACTGAAGTTTATCCTGGTAAAGAGGGAATTTTTTTTTATCCCGCGCACTGTTGAAAGAAAATTTTAAATTTCCTCTACATTTGCCTCTTATTTCTGTTTCATACGTTAGGCGCCTGACAAGTTCACAACAGACAATTTTCTCACGCCCTGCTGAATGAGGAAAAGGTGACGATGAAGTCTTTTGAGATAAATTTCGAGGAAGTCCGGTTTCAGCAATCGTGGCTGGGTGTGTGCCGTTTAGACAAAATATTTCTCGTTGTAATCACAGATAACCTGCAAGAAAAGGAGTCTACTACAGAATAATGTCGACGACAAATTTCACAAGAGGTGTAACACTGACGAAAACATTGTTACTAACATGCTTCCCCTCAAGCCCTTTGGTGGGTGGGCCTCCACCAAATATAGTCTCTTACGCAGCAGTTAGCCTTCTCCTCTCCATTACAGCGTTTCTTGGAAATTCTCTCATTCTTGTCGCCCTTCACAAGGAATCTTCCCTTCATCGACCGTCAAAACTCTTGTATCGATGCCTGGCAACTACTGATCTGTTGGTAGGTATTGTTTGCCAGCCTCTCCATGCTACTTTATTGATATCCTTGGTTCACGAACACTGGGGTGTTTGTCGTTACATAGCATATGCATGGTACACAGCAAGCTATGCCATATGTGCGGTGTCTTTATTGACGATGACAGCCATAAGCGTGGACAGACTTCTTGCACTGCTGTTGGGGCTGAGATATAGACAAATCGTAACTTTGAAGCGCACCTATATCATTGTCGCTGCCATTTGGGCTTTTTCTCTCGTCGGGGTCTTCTTAATCATCATACCTGATTATCATATAACGTACTTGTACACTGGGACATTTATACTACTTTGCCTGGCTATTTCACTGGCCTCGTATACAAAGATTTTTTGCACTCTCAGGTATCATCAGACTCAAGTACACGATCCTGTTCATCATCCGCCAAGCCAACCAAATGCACTGAACATGGCGCGATACAGAAAGGCGGTGCACAGTGCACTGTGGGTGCAGTTATCATTCATTGTTTGTTATGCGCCATCCTCTATTGTATTTTTATTGGCAATCGTTCATAACGGAATATCTTCGTCTCACTTGTTCGTCATAAAGGAGATAACAATTACCTTATTCTACTTTAATTCAACGTTAAATCCGTTTCTTTACTGCTGGAAGATTAGTGAAGTAAGACAAGCAGTAAAGCAGACAATCAGACAAGCACTTTGCTGTCCATGGAGTTAGATCGTTCGTGGCTACAATCGAATGAATATTTTCAAAGCTGAGTCATACAGTCACGATTATTACCTGCCGTAGAGAACGCTTGTCCGATATTTTATTGGATAGAAAGAAATAAGAAACGTATATTCTCTTCTCCATCACAGCGTATCTTGGAAATTCCTTCATTCTTGTTACCCTTTACTAGGAATCTTCCCTTCATCGAAACTCTTGTATCGTTGCCTAGCAACAACTGATCTGTTAGTTGGTCTTGTTATACAGCCTTTCAATCCTGCTTTTGTGGTATCCTTGGTTCACGAACATTGGGTTAATTGTCAATACGCAAATATCGCAGCCTACATATCAAGCATAGCATTATGTGGGGTTTGTTTGCTGACAATAGCGGCCATTAGTGAGGACAGACTTCTCGCCATGTTCTTGGTGCTGAAAAACGGACACATTTTAACTTTAACGCGCATCTTTATCATTGTAGCTACCTTTTGGGTTTTTTGTCTTGTCGAGGCCTCTTTAAACACCATAATTGATCATCATATAACGTATTTGTGGAACTGGATATTTAAACCACTATGCCTGATTGTTTCACTGGCCTCGTACACAAAGATTTGTCGCACTCTCAAGTATCATCAGACTCAAGTAAACGATCATGTTCAACAACCGCCGAGGCAACCAAATGCACTAAACATGGTGCGATACAGAAAGGCAGTGCACAGTACACTGTGAATGCAGTTAGCGTTAGTTTGTTATGCGCATTCTTTTTATAGTGGCAATTGTGATCGCTCTTGGAAAAACATATTCATCGGGCTAACGTGTCCTAAGAAGAATAACAATTGTCTTAGTTCACTTTAACTCGACGTTAAATCCGTTTATTAATTGCTGGAAGATTAGTGAAGTAAGACAAGCAGCAAAGTTGACAATCAGATAAGCACTTTGCTTTCCATGGAGTTAGATCCCTCGTTGGCCTCACTCGAATAAATATTTTCAAAGCTGAGTGATACGGTCACGATCATCACCAGCCATAGAGAACGCTTGTCAGATATGTTACTGGATAAAAAGAAAGAACAAACTTAAGTAGGATCTTTGTACATAGTCTATGACACTAGAGATGTAAACAATGATGTGAAAAATATATAAATGAGCGTATAGAATAAAACGAACCATTACCATTTCTTACAGTCAGAGTCCTTTTCACTGGATGTTACTAAATTCCGAAATTGAAAATAACGACTTATCTTTTTCACTCAGCTACAAATGAATTTCTACCTGAGATGGAGTAGTTTCAAATAAATTGTAAAATAACAATACTCTCACAGATGTCTGCATGTCTGACTCTTGATGTGGACTAGCACGAATGGTTCCTATGTTCCTTTCTAGTCCTTCCCCACTGCAAAACTTAATGCAGTGAAAATGGACTAAATTAAATTAAATTAATTAATTTTTTACGACATGAAACTTTACCGATAAGAAAAACAAGTTGTGTTGCATAGCAGACTCTCCCATGATTANTTTGTTGTTAGTTATCTTATATGTGATTAAAGAGACGTAGTTACGGACAGAATACAACAGACCCGGCATTACCAGTTCTTATAGTCAGAGTCCTTTTCACTGGATCTTCCTATTTTTCGAATTGAAAATAACGACTTATCGTCCTCGCTCAGCCATAAGTGAATTTTAACCTGAGAAGAAGGAGTTTCAAATAAGTTATAAAATAACAATAATACCGAAGGTGTCTGTGTGTTTGACTCTTGGTACTTATTTATCAAACAACTGTCTTAGTCTACTTTAATTCAACGTTAATGAAAACGAGCCGGACTTCGTGAACCGGAAAGGATTTCATTCAATCAATGTCCAGGTAATCTGCGACCATCGAGGCAAGCAAGTTTGTGTTGCTCTTATTATTTGGGTCATCCTCGGTGTAAAAACCTGACGAGGTTTTTTTGTTTGATGAGGTATTGTTTTGCTCTACGCTATTGTTTATAATGTTTTGTCGTCTTTGTTTTACGTCACTCCTGAGCTTCACAGATTTTTACACCGAGGATGAGCCCACTATTTGTATAGCAAAGGGTAACATTCCGTTCAACCCAAGCTTTACTATGCTTACTATCACATGTGTATTTCAGGTATTATTTTGTCCCAAATATAAGCATGAAAGCCGAAGAATTTCGCTTTAAAATTGTAACGCTTTTCTGTCACGTAAGGAATGTGCGAGTGATTGGCTTGGATCCCAAGATTTACGCATGTACACAATTTACGACGAAACGAACTGAACGAATTGATTGAAATAATTGAGTTTTCGAACCGTGAGATCTCCCTTTCCTTTCTGGAACTCTCAACTGTAATCGATTTTGTTTGCTAACAAGTGTTGAGCCTTCGAATAGTGATACGACCGCAAGGAAAATATTGATTGGTGATCACTTGATGTGTTTTCCAACATGGACATTTTTCAGTGGACTGTCTTGGAGTGAGTGCTGAAACATAACATTACCGAGCATTCTTTCGCTAAGTAGCCTTGTTTAATAACATGTAATTTGCTGTTACTCAAAGATACATGTCAAGAAATCTCTTGGAATCTACCATTTCTAGAAAAGGGATAGGTTGTAGTTAATTGATGTTGGTTTTAGACTGTGGTTTAAATACAAGCGGCAATCCAGTTTCGAACACTTCGTTTTGACAAAATGAATTTAAAAAAACCTTACGATTACAGCTCCAAATTTAGGGTCTGTGTGTATGTTCACATTACGAAACTTTTATGGGAATACAGTTTAAGACTAGGAAAACGTACACTTGCACTATAAATAGCTAATTTTTTTCACTGGGAATGTTGTGTTGGACGTAAAAACCATTGTGATTCATTGAATGTAATTGAATTTTGTAGGAATGTTTACAAATGTTGTGGTTAGATGGCCTGGCTCTACACTTGATAGCCACATTCTTCGAACGTCCGCCATAGGGCTTGACCTGGAAGGGACTGGTCCGGCAGATGGTGTACTACTTGGAGATAGTGGATATGCATGTTCCCCATTCCTCATGACTCCCTATCTCAACCCCTGCAGTTCAGTGCA